CCACCCACGAACCCTAATTCTTTGCGCTTTTGAGTTGCCCATTCTCCTTCATTTAAGAACGCGTGACCCTCTCCTTCATAGATGTGAATTGAAATTTCTTTTCCTTCATAGCCTTGAGCTTCTTTGAGTTGACGTTCGAGAGATCTGACCGAATCGGGACCACAAAAGTTGTCTTCAGCACCAAAATGACCTTGAATCGGGGTCTTGATCGCGGCTTTACTCACATCAGCGTATTCAGGTTTTGGAATACCATAGCACGTAACCGCAGCGCTCAATGGATTCTTGGTGCTAAGGCGAGCTGCAATAGCAAGACTCACGGCACCTCCCATGCAAAATCCAATGGCACCGATTTTTACGCGATTCTCTTTATTCAAAACTTCAACAAGCTTTTCTAATCCCATCAATGCTTCCTCCCAGTTTAGGTTACCCATTAAGTGAGAGGCTTCCTCTGCTGATAAACCGAGTTTCCCATTATAGAGATCAGGAACAATTGCTAAGGTCCCTGTATTATCAGCGATATACTGGGCATGTGTCTTGATCTGCTCATTAATTCCCCACCATTCTTGTAAAACGATAACTGCAGAGTTTTTCTTTTCTTCGTTCTTTGGATAGAAACGGAAAGTTTTAAAGGTTAACTCGGATCCAGTACCATGAGTCGCCATTTTTTTCTCGTTACGGTAAAGAAAATTTTGTTGTCGTCGCTCGGCCCGTGAGAATGAAACGATTCTGAGGAAAAAAAAGTGTTTCACAAGACCATGTACGTACATATCGATATGTACGCATGTACGCAACCGTGATACGTAAACAAAATCAGATATATAAATCTGTGTTTTGCAGTTGGTCCGCTGTCATGATAATATGACAATTTCTTGTAGCGAAGATGTCCTCTTCTTACAAGCGCCCAGGGGGAACCACTCAACGTAGTCAAAATTACTACAAGCGTCCACGAATGGCGCCCGTAAAGCCACCGAGGAAGCCTTTTTTCGACTATCGACTCTCTAAGCTTGCAATTGGCACATTTGTTTTGGGTAATGGACACACAAATTGCATTTGGCACTTTCTTATTGTTGACTTCTATTAAATGTGACACATTTTAACCCCAGAAAAAAACGGAATTGAAGAGGAGAAAGGCGACTGCAGGCTTCGTTTCTATCTTAATAATTCAAACGATCCATTGTCCAAACAGGATGCCATCGCAATCACTTGGAATAATGGCCAAACTCGAATTATTTTTGAGATACCGCATGTGCATAAAATTGCCTTAACTCAAAAAGATGGATATTTTCAGATCTCTACTGATGGAGTGGCTCAGGTATTTTTGAGGAGGGATTGCAAAGAAAATTTCTTCTTATCTTTTGGAGATGTATTAATGAATAATAATTTGAATCAACAGTTTGAGAAACTGGATCAAAATGGTACATATGTGATCAGTGAAGAGGATCCAACTTATGGCCAATTGACTACCAACCATGCTATCGATTGTTATGTCGATATGGATAATCCGGTCACCCAACCAAAATGGACACATCAGAATATTAACGAATGGACAAACGAGAACTCAAAATTTAGGCAAATATTGGAGGTTACCGATGCGGAAATGGTATCCTCAATTAGTAAATTCCTATTTCCGATTTTACCATGATTTTAAATTAATCTTTACTTGTTTGATTGCTTGACCTTAGTCCAAGACATTTGAGGACGTAGTGAATTCATGGGCCCGCACTTCCAATCATGGTTTACTCAGTGATAGATTACTTTTTGCTAAGGCACAACTTTGCAAGGTTGATCGACTCTTTGAGATAATCACACGTTTAATACGCAAAGAATCCTCCCTTGGACCGGCTATTGATGGATTAACCGTAATAATCAAGGATCTTGCCGAAAAATGTCATTTGGAACATGAAGAACTGGAAAAAATGATTGCCCCAGTTGTGAATACCATACCAGAATATTTGATTTTGAGAGCTCTGGAGGCTATGTGGAAGGCTGAAGAAAGAGAGACTGGGGCAACGTAAGATAGATTCAGTTAAACAGTGATAACAAAAAAAAAGAGGTGGCTGGAAACGCACAAGAGTAATATAATAATAATAATATTCACTTTTGAAGTTTCCAGCACAAATTTTTTCGAGAAATTTATGACGATATGAGTAAGATTTCATTCGTTGAAAATTATACGATCTTTCCGTTTTGAGATTATATTGACATTAGCGAAATAAATACACGTTAAGAAACAACGAAAGACAAAATGTCGATCACGTGATTTGAACAAAATCTTTAGATGCTCGATGATCATCATCGCAAGCAAAATTAATACTATCCGTTTTAATAGATGGTTAATTTCTATTCACTTTACTTTTTGTTCAATTTGCAGGAAATTTGTTTTTTGTTTTTTT